ACAGCCACTTAGACATGTTGCAAGGCAAATTTTGCCCTCTTCATTTTTTTCATCTTCTACATGGGTGATCTAAGGCTTACCTGCTTTAACAAATACGCCCATGACACGCGATCACTACATCTACAACTCACGTCTCCCTACCGAGCCGTTACGAACCGAGAGTATGAAGTACATACTCAAGTCAGTCAGATGGCCATCCAAAGTTGTAGTCCAAAGTCTAATAATTTGTGAACATCACCGTCTTATGCACCGAGTGTCAGTTCTATGATACCACAGCCATAGAGAAACCATAATCATCCGGAAGTCAACTGATATACTGGCCGGCACTCACGATCAAGAAGGAACCACCTGAGCCAGCAATCAGACTGGCCCTAGGCAGCTTCCTGACAAACATAAACTGAGTCCTCGACGTGTGAATCAGAATGAAGAGTGTTCATCCATAGTTCGATTTCGACAACCAAAATCTGCGAAAAATACGAACATATTGTTGCCCAAATTTGCATATGATATTGGCAGTCTTGGAAGGTTTGACTGCAAACCGCAACGCAAACCTCCGATACGTTCTCCGATAAATTCTTGACGACAAGAACGATTAGGCGTACCCAGTTTCTAAAGTTCTCAAGGCAGCTGTATGGAACAATCGCTAACTTTATAGCTTAAAATCCTTCAGCTAATATGGACATCAAAACCATCGATGTTGCAATTTAAAAAAAAAATATTGCGCATTTTCCGAATAAAAAAAACGAAAGGAAAATATCTAACCGCCCGAATATCGGTCTTCTTTACACGTTCACGACGGAGCCATTTCTGGTGTCCTTCTTTTCATGCAGTTAATGGAGATGATCAGTATTTTCATGCCATCAGCCACGATTGCCAGCAGAGATGACATTAAAGACGTTTTAATGACAATGGACAGTGCATAGTACCCTGTTTCCTATCAACTCGATGGCATTCATTCAACCTTGTAAAGAAGAAAGGCGACAAGGGCTCAAACAGGGACTTCTCAGGTCACAGTAAGACGGCCAACGGGCACAATTGATGTTCAGTCGAGAGCAACTCCCGTTCGATTGATACTTTGTGTTTCAGGGACTTTACGGGAGAAAAGCACTATGAAGCTCTAGTGGCCCAAAATTTTAATCTACGTAAGCAAATGGAGGAAAGCAGCCGTAAAAAGTTTTTAAATGCCTTAACTGAGAATCACTGACTTCCATAACAAATCTAAATTGTCTGGCAGCAGACCCTACAAATATAAATGCAAATGGTAAAGTAAGATACAAAAAATATTTCACCTACAACTTTATTTTCCACCGCAGACGGCTGTTTACCAGGTACCATCGTTCACTGCGAGAAAATGCCGTCTGAAACTATGTTTCAGAGCAAGAAACAATCGACGATGTTTATCTACCGTTAAATCGATGTATCGTCTGTCATGTCATTCG